GCTGTATTAAGCTGTATCGCTGGCATTGGAGAGGGATTGGCTGGTGTCTACTGGAACAGCACTTTGGTTTTCTCGATGTTTAATACACTAGTGTTTTCTCATTCTCTTTTAAAAAATGGTTCTGGGGTTAGCATGACACACTTTCCTCTTGGCATGTTTTTCTCTTTCACCCTCCATTCGTGCCTCTTCAAACTCCACAGCACTGATGGTCACAGCTGACCTCTAGCTGGAGCGCTCAAGGGCCAGGGCTTCCCAGAGGTGTAGGTTTATTTATTTATTTATTTACAATATTTATATTCTGCCCTTCTCACCCCACAGGTGACTCAGGGCAGATTACAATGTACATATACACGGCAAACATTCCATGCCATAGACACACAACATATATGGACAGACACTCAGAGGCTATTTAACATTCCAGCTTCTGGCCACCAGGGGAGCGCTCACTTCACCGTCCATTTGTGGCACTGATGAAGTACTTCCTCATTCTTTGTATACTTCCTGGAGATTTTTATGACCTATTAAATTAGTTAAATTAGCCTCCCCACATAAGTGGTACCTAAATTTCCTACTTGACAGATGCAACTGTCTTTCGAGCTGCAAAGGTCGACAACAAGCTACACAATTTTGGACTATATTTTTTGTTTCTACTTAAAGCAACAGACTCATGTGTTTTTTTTTTAATTTTTATCACACTGAGAGTAAAAGGAGCTGAGACTTTATGCAGGCTACTAACACTATTCTAACACGATACACATGCAGATAGAGGTTCCGTATTCCGAATTCCCAAATCTAATTTCAAGCCACTTCCTTAGAGATGCAAGTGGCATGACTGTGATAGTGCCACACATGGAGAAATTGTGTGGCTTGCCTTGTCAAGCCTGCCCACGCACCTTTTGCCTGGAAGGGAACTCCTTGCACACAGGGCTTCACTAGGTAAACTAGTGAAGACTAGTCATCAAGACCTAATCCTCAGAAGAAAGAGGTTTATGTGCAAAGCATGTTGCCCTAAATGAACACTGAACCAACTGGTTTCTGGGACTAGGAGGAAGTCATCACTTGCTGTATTGTGTTGATACTACTGCCACTGGTGATGAGAGGTGAGTAAAGTAGGTCTCTGAGTGTTTTTGCAGACAGTGAAAGTATGATAGCTGGGACCCGCACAACACTGGTTGCGTAACATGGCTCTGAATTAGACAAGGGAACACGTGTGCGAGACACAGCACAGAGTCAACAAGGTAGTTCAGTAGAAAGGGGGAGGAGAAACTGGGAAGCATAGTCTCGCAAGAGCCGCATTGCGCAACCAGCGTAGCGCTACCAGCACTGGGTCCCAGCTATCATACTTTTACCTTGCCGGCTATAGAGAGTTCTCCCTATAGCCAATGTGGCATAGCGGTTTGAGCATTGGACTGTTACTGTGGAGACCAGGGTTTGAATCCATCAAAATCGAGCAGGTGATCTTAGGTAAGTCACACTTTCTCAGCCTCACAGGAAGGCAAAAGTAACCTCTGAAGAGATCCTGCTAAGTAATCCCTGAGCTTAGCGTCTCCAGTGTATGTATATCCAGCATTATTTTTAACTTAATTACATTTGGCCCAGCCATAATTTTACAATGTGTTTTGTGCCACTGTTCAATGTTTTGCTATTTTGTGAATGAGATTTATTTTAATTGCTTTGTATTAGTATTTGTATTTTGTTTCCTTTTGTAATTGTTATTGCTTGTATTGATGTATTGTGGGCTTGGCCTCATGTAAGCCGCACCGAGTCCCTTGGGAGATGGTAGCGGTGTACAAATAAAGTATTATTATTATTTATTTATCTAAATAATAATAATACCGAGGCTGCACCGGGACTGTGGTTTATATATATTAGGTGTATATATATGTGTGTGTGCGCGATGTGTGTATATATGTGTGTCTATGTGTGTGTTACATGTGTTAATGTTTTATGTGTATATATGTATGTATTGTGTGTATGTGTATATGTGTGTGTATGCATGCTATGTGTGTGTGTGTGTGTGTGTATATATATATATATATATATGTGTGTGTGTTAGGTGTATATGTGTGTTTATGCATGTGTGTTTATGTGTGTGCATGTATATATGTATACATACATGTATATGTGTGTTGTGTGTATATATGTGTCTATGTATGTTAATGTTTTATATGTATATGTATGTGTTTGTTGTGTGTATATGTGTTGTATGTGTATATGTGTGTCTATGTGTGTTACATGTATTAATGTTTTATGTGTGTGTATATATATATATATATATATGTATTGTGTGTATGTGTATATGTGTGTGTGTGTATATATATATGTTAGGTGTATATGTGTGTTTATGTATGTGTATGCATGTATATATGTATGTGTACACACATGTATATGTCTTATGTGTGTATATGTGTCTATGTATGTATGTTAATGTTTTATATGTATATGTATGTTTGTTGTGTGTATATGTGTATATATGTGTGTCTATGTGTGTGTTACATTTGTTAATGTTTTATGTGTATATATATGTATTGTGTGTATGTCGTATATGTGTGTGTGCATGCTATGTGCGTGTGTGTATATATATATATTGTTAGGTGTATGTTTGTTTATATATGTGTGTCTTATGTGTGTGCATGTATATATGTATGAGCATATATGTGTGTTATGTGTGTCTATGTATGAGTGTCAATGTTTTATATGTATATGTATGTGTTTGTTGTGTGTATATGTGTTGTATGTGTATATAGTGTGTCTATGTGTGTTACATGTGTTAATGTTTTATGTGTGTGTATATATGTATTGTGCGTATGTATGTGTGTGTGTGTGCATGCTATGTCAGTGTGTGTGTATATATATAGTTAGGTGTATGTTTGTTTATATATGTGTGTCTATGTGTGTGCATGTGTATATATGTGTGTTATGTGTGTATATATGTGTCTATGTATGAGTGTTAATGTTTTATATGTATATGTATGTGTGCATGTTTGTTGTGTGTATATGTGTGTGCATGTGTATATGTGCCTGTGTGTGTTACATGTGTTAATGTTTTATGTGTATATATATGTATGCATTGTATGCGTATATGTGTGTGTGCATGCTATGTGCATGTGTGTGTATGTATGCATATATATATATATATATATATATATATATAGTTAGGTGTATATGTTTGTTTATGTATGTGTGTCTATGTGTGTGCATGTATATATGTATGTGTATATATGTGTCTATGTATGAGTTTTAGTGTTTTATATGTATATATATATATGTGCATGTTTGTTGTGTGTATATGTGTGTGCGTGTATATATGTATGTGAATATACGTGTGTGTATCTATGTGTGTGCGTCATGTGTGTCTATATTTGTGTGTGCAGATATTCGCACGTACTATATACTACACACACACATATATATATATATCTCGCAGGTTATGCCTTGTGCAGCAACCGGCATCCAGGAAACCAGAAAGCTGCATCTGGCCAAGCAGGAGAAGGGCGGGGGAAGCGGGTCCGCGCACGGCTTGCCGGGAAACGTAGTCTTTCCCTTAGAGCCGCCTTCCTGAGGGATAGTATTCGGGGACTCCATTTCCCGGCGAGGAGCGCGGCGGAGGGAGGGGGCGTGGCTTCCCCGGCCGGGGCGTCCAATCAGGGCGGGAGGGGATGATGTCACCCGCGGGCTTGTAAGGCTCGGCGGCGGCTTGGCCGGAGGAAGAGGAGAAGGAGAGAGAAGCCACAGAGGGAGAGAAGCCAGAGGGAGGAAAGGCAGGAGGAGGAGGCGCAGCTGGGTCCGCGGGAGGCGGGGAGGGAGGGCGAGTGAGCTGGCTCCCTTGGCGTCCCTGCGGGGCTCCGGCGAGGAGAAGGAGGAGAAGGAGAAGGAGGAGAAGAAGGATGCGCCTGGGCAGGGGCTGCGGCACCAGGTAAGCCCAGCAGAGAAGGAAGGGAGGGAGGGTGGGCGCCTCCCTCTCTCCTTCTCTCCCTCCTTCTCTCCCTCCCATTCATCCCGGATGCCGGAGGGAGAGGAGGAGGAAGGAAGGAAGGAAGGAAGGAAGGGGCAGAAGGGCTGGGTTGGGTTGGGGGCGTTGAGGCACCTCTCCAGCTGCTTCCCATGCAAAGAAGGGGCTTCCTGGTTGATGCTCTTGAGGAAGGACCCTTGGTTTTGGGCAGCAGAAGCTCTTCTTTCTTTCCTTCTCCAGTGGAGGTGGATGTCCATTGCGTCTAAGGTGTGGATGGGCTTGATCTGCATCTTCTCCCTTCCGCAGTGAGGGTATCTGTTTCTAGGAAAGACTAGCGCTCCAGCTGGAGGTCAGCTGTGACCATCAGTGCTGTAGAATTGGAAGAAGCAGGAATGGAGGGCGAAAGAGAGAAACGTGCCAAGAGGAAGGCGCGTCATGCCCACCCCAAACTCCACAGCACTGCTGGTCACAGCTGTCCTCCAGCTGGAGCGCTAAAGGGCCAGGGCTTCCCAGTTCTCAGTGTCTATGCCAGAGTTTTTAAGGTTGGCTTTGAGCCCATCTTTAAATCTCTTTTCCTGTCCACCAACATTCGATTTTCCATTCTTAAGTTTGGAGTAGAGCAACTGCTTTGGGAGACTGTGGTTGGGCATTTGGTCAATGCTGGTGGTCTTTGCTTCTTCCAGCACGCTGACGTTTGTCTGCCTGTCTTTCCAAGAGATTTGCAGGATTTTCTGGAGGCAGCGCTGATGGAATCGTTCCAGGAGTTGCATGTGACTTCTGTAGACAGTCCACGTCTTGCAGGCATATAGCAGGGTTGAGTGGACAATAGGTTTATAAGCAAGCACCTTGGTATACCTATGGATGTCCCGGTCCTCAAACACTCTCTGCTTCATTCAGAAAAATGCTGCACTCACAGAGCTCAGGCGGTGTTGTAATTCAGTGTCAATGTTGACTTTTGCGTCTGTAGACAGTCCATGTTTCGCAGGGATAGAGCAGGGTTGGGAGGACAATAGCTTTATAGACAAGCACCTTGGTATCCCTACGGATGTCCCGGTCCTCAAACACTCTCTGCTTGATTCGGAAAAAAGCTGCACTCACAGAGTTCAGGTGGTGTTGTATTTCGGTCTCAATGTTGACTTTTGTGGAGAGGTGGCTGGCAAGGGAGCGGAAATGGTCAACATTTTCTAACGTTACACCATTAAGCTGTATCTCTGGCATTGGAGAGGGATTGGCTGGTGACTCCTGGAAGAGCACTTTGGTTTTCTCGATGTTCAATGACAGGCCGAGCTTCTCGTATGCTTCTGCAAAGGTGTTTAGAGTGACTTGTAGGTCTTCTTGTAGGGGAAGAAGCAACACAGTTTGGACTAGAAGCAGGCATGGCTCATAGGACATAGATCAAGACTACACACACATAGGGGAGTTCCTGCTTCATTTTTGGATAGTTTTCATTCCCTGGAGCACATTTTGTAAACAGATTATTCATATTGCAAACTGAAGGGAATTAAGTGCATCAATAGGGAGATAGATCAAAGGTAAAGGTTTCCCCTTGACATTAAGTCTAGTCATGTCTGACTATGGGGGTTGGTGCTCACCTCAGTTTCTAAGCTGAAGAGCTGGTGTTGTCCATAGACACCTCCAAGGTCATGTGGCCGGCATGACAGCATGGAGCGCTGTTACCTTCGCACAGAAGCGGTACCTATTGATCTCGCATTTGCATGTTGTTTAACTGCTAGGTTGGCAGAAGCTGGGCCTAACAGCAAAAGCTCACCCCGCTCCTGAGATTCGAACTGCCAACCTTTTGGTCAGCAATTTCAGCAGCTCAGCAGTTTAACCCGCTGCGCCACCAGCAGCAGGAAAAGGGAATTAGGTGCATTGATAGGGAGATAGATAAAAGATAAAAGTTTTCCCCTGACATTCAGTCTTGTTATGTCCAATTCTGGGTGTTGGTGCGCATCTCCATTTCTAAGCCGAAGAGCCGGCGTTGTCCATGGACACCTCCAAGGTCATGTGGCCAGCATGACTGCATGGAGCGCCGTTGCCTTCCTCACAGCACACATTCCTTGCCCGAGCGGTACCTATTGATCTACACACGTTTTGATGTTTTTGAACAGTTAGGTTAGCAGAAGCTGGAGCTAACAGTGGGAGCTCATGCCACTCCCTGGAATTGAACCTGTGACCTTTTGTTCAGCAAGTTCAGCAGCTCAGCGGTTTAACCCACTGCCATTGGGGGGCTCCGTAAATCAAAGGGGAAATGGAATTGTGGTCATGTGGTCAGCATGGAGTGTCCTTACCTTCCCACCGGAGCGGTACGTATTGATCTACTTACCTTTGCATGTTTTCGAACTGCTAGCTTGGCAGAAGCTGGGACTAATATTGGGAGCTCACCTCGCTCCCTGGATTTGAAGCTGCAATCTTTTGGTCAGCTAGTTCAGCAGTTCAGAGGTTTAACCCACCGCCATTGGGGGGGTGGGGGGGGGTGGGGGGAGGCTCCATAGATCAAAGGGGAAACAGAATTGTGTCATGGGAGATCTGCAGAATAGATTACCAACAAATAAGGCTTCTTATTGTGGTGCAATGGCTTGATTCTGCGAACCAGGAATTGAATCCTTGCTTAGCTATGGGAATACCCTGGATCAGCTTGGGGCAAGTCACACTCTCTCAGCCTCAGAGGAAGGGAAAGGCATTAAGACAGTGGTTCCCAACCTTTGGTCTGCCAGGTGTTTTGAACATCAACTCCCAGAAATCCCAGCTATCTTACCAGCTGGTAGGAATTGTAGGAGCTGAAGTCCGAAACACCTAGAGAACCAAAGGTTGGGAACCACTGCATTAAGGCAACCTTCTGAATCCATCCTGCCAAGAACACACATTGATAGGTTGGCCTTAGGACAGGCCTGGAGCTGTTAGGAATTGTGGGAGTTGAAGTCCAAAACACCTGACAAGTAATAGACCCTCTTTAATGCCTGAACCCAAACCGAATGCCAGCCCTAACTCGCTCCTTTTCCTATTCAGATCCATGCAAACTGTAGGGATATTTTTTTGTCTTCGCATGACACAAAGTTGCCAGGTAATATCATCTCCCGAACACTATTCAAGACAAGGTTGGTTTCCTGTCCATAGTATAGGAAAGCATCCTCTCTATCTTATCCCAATCCTCTATGTCAGTGGTTTCCAACCTTCCTAATGCCATGACCCCTTATGTTGTGGTGACCCCCAACTATAAATTTATTTTCGTTGCTACTTTCCTAACTGTAATTGTGCTGCTGTTAAGGATCGTCATGTAAATATCTGATATGCAGAATGTATTTTCATTCTCTGGACCAAATTTGGCACAAACACCAGATATGTCCAAATTTGAAGACTGGACCAAATTTGGCACAAATAACACCCACATTTGAATACTGGTGGGGTTGGAGCGGATTGATTTTGTCATTTGGGAGTTGTAGTTGCTGGGATTTATAGTTCACCTACAATCAAAGAGCATTCTGAACTCCACCAATGATGGAATTGAACCAAACTTGGCACACAGAACTCCCATGACCAACAGAAAATACTGGAAGGGTTTGGTGGGCATTGACCTTGAGTTTTGGAGTTGTAGTTCACCTATATCCAGAGAGCACTGTGGACTCAAACAATGATGGATCTGGACCAAACTTGGCATGAATACTCAATATGCCCAAATGTGAACACTGGTGGGTGGGGAAAATAGATCTTGACATTTGGGAGTTGTAGTTGCTGAAATTTATAGTTCACCTACAATCAAACAGCATTCTGAAACCCATCAACATAGAATTGGGCCAAACTTCCTACACAGAACCCCCATGACCAACAGAAAATACTCTGTTTTTTTATAGTCATTGGCAACCCCTTTGGCAACCCCTCACGAGCTCCCCAGGGGTCCTGACCCCCAGGTTGAGAAATGCTGCTGTATGTTTATAGTATGGGAAAACACTCTCAATCTTATCTGAACCCTCTATGCTCATAATATGAGAAAGCATACTCTGAAGCTTATCCCAACCCTCTATGTTCATAGTATGGAATCTTAACCTACCCCCTCCCCTGAAAAATATAATATATTATAGCAGAGAGGAAACAACCAGGCACATCTTAACACCTCTCAACAAAAGATTCCCCCAGGCTCAGCCAGGCCTTCAAATGCTAATGAAGGTGGTCAGTTGAAACATTCACACCTAGCTCCAGCAGAGAAGAGCTCTTTGCCCCACCCCAGTCATTCCACAGATATATAAACCCATTTTCCTAATTCCCACAGACCTCACTACCTCTGAGGATGCTTGCCATAGATGCAGGCGAAACGTCAGGAGAAAATGGCCATATAGCCCAAAAAAACCCACAAGAACCTAATAATATATTATGTTCCACATTTGACAACTGTGCAATATCTTTATCTGTGCCCTTCAAAATAATCTGATATTTAAACTACTTTTCACCAGGTTAATTGTGGGAGGGGTCCGCCTATGGAAAGACCCCATAGTGGTGCTGCTTTTCTCCGCAACCCAGCCTCCATCTTCCTCCTGTTCTTCCCTATCCACCCACCCAATTCTTTTTTAGGGTCTTGCCTCCCGTTGTGTGCCTTACAATAGGATGCTCGTTTAATATATCTCTGGGTGGTCCTCCTCCTTTTCTTGCTGAGGGGATAAATCAGGGGTACAATGGCTTGTGTGACATGTCAGCCCCCCTTACAACGAATACGGCAGGCAATCTCTTTCTGTAATACGCTCGTTTGCATTATTTCCCCCCTGTGCGCCCTACTGTCTCTGTGCAGCCGTAATAATAATAAAAAATGAGGAATATCACCCCAGTTGAGGAGGTTTGAAGGAGACTCTGCAACAGGAGAGAGAGAGAAAGGGGAAGGGGGCCCTGCAAATGTGGTTGCTATGGTTACCCATGCTCTTCAAATCACCGCCTCCATGGGTCTGGATTTTGAGGAGGGGGCTGCCGGGTACCAG